AAAAAAAAAAAAAAAAAGCAAAGCAGGAGGTATCACAATACCAGACTTTAAACTTTACTATAATGCTACAATAATCAAAACAACTTGGTATTGGTACAAGAACAGGCATATACACCAATGGAATAGAATTGAGATTCCAGAAGCAAAACCTCAGTTTCTCACCCAACTCATCTTTGACAAAGCCTCCACCACCCACCACTGGGAGAGGAGAACCTATTAAGTTAATGGTGCTGGGAAACTGGTTGATCACATGCAGAAGATTCAAACAGGATCCCTATGTACCCCCATACACAAAAATTTAACTCTAAATGGATCAGAGACCTAAATGTAACCTCAAAACATAAGAACTTTAGAAAAAACAGGACACACCCTGATGGAAGTTGGAACTGGCATCCAATTCCTGAGCAAAACCTGAAATGCACAGGCTATAAGAAATAAGATAGACAAGTGGGATCTCATTAAACTGACAAGTTTCTGCAAAGCCAAAGAAACCATCAAGACAGCAGGGAGAGAGCCCACACACTGGGAAAAAGTATTTGCCAACTCCATGTCTGACAAAGGACTAACATCTAAGATCTACAAGAAACTCAAATGTGCTGAAATGAAAAAAAAACAAACAACCCCATTACAAAGTGGGCAAAAGATATGAACAGACACTTCTCAAAAGAAGACATACGAGCAGCCACCAGATATATGAAAAAATGTTCAACCTCACTAGTCACCAAGGAGATGCAAATTAAAACTACACTGAGATACCACCTAACTCCTGTCAGAATGGCCATTATCAATAACTCAAAAAATAACCAATGCTGGAGAGGATGTGGTGAAAAGGGAACACTTCCACACTGTCGGTGGGAGTGTAAACTAGTGCAGCCTCTGTGGAAATCAATGTGGCAATTCCTAAAAGCTCTAAAAATCGACCTTTCATATGACCCCTCAATCCCCCTACTGGGAATATACCCTGAAGAACTCAAATCACTCTATAAAAAAAGATACCTGCACATGTATGTTTATTACAGCATTGTTCACAATAGCAAGATCATGGAACCAACCATGCTGTCCATCAAAAGAGGACTGGATTAAAAAAAAAATGTGGTACATATACACAATGGAATATTACGCAGCAATAAAAAAGAATAAAATCATGAATTTCGCAGCAACCTTGATGGAATTGGAGTTTATAATAATGAGTGATCTCTCACAGAAACAAAGATCTGAGTATCACATGTTCTCACTCATAAATGGACCTTGAACAACTATCATAATACTATAAGAAAGGGATTGACAGTGGCGGGAAACTATGGGGGGGACAGGGAGGGGAAGGGAGGTGGGATTAACGGTAGTCATTATCTGTTTGGGGATGGGGGGCACACCTCATCAACAAGGGTACCTGCATGATGCATATTTGTATACCTAACCCTTAAAATAAAAAATACGTTAAAAAAGTCTTTGATTTTTTTCTCTGAATTTCTTAGTTTCTGCCTGTAAATCAACAGCCCCTTTCTACTCTTCCTTCCTTTCTTTGGACTTTAGTGATTTTTGTGTGTGTCAGAGTCTCACAGTTACACAGACTGGAGTACAGTGGCATGCTCACGGTCACCACAGCTTCAACTTCCTGGGGTCAGGTGATCCTTCTGTCTCAGTTTTCCAAGTAACTGAAACCATCGGTGTGTGCCAGCATGCCCAGCTAATTTTTTGATTTATTGTGGAGATGGGAGGTCTTGTCAAGTTGTCTAGTCTGAGGGATTGCTTTTTTGATTGAAACTTTACTGAATTTGTTTATTAGTTCTAACAGTTTTTTTTGTAAATTAAAAAAAAATATACAATCTATGCTATTAGCAAACAAAGTTAATTTAACTTCTTCCTTTTAAATTTAGATGCCTTTTATTTCTTTCTTTTGCCTAATTGGTCTGGCTAGGGCTTCCAGTACTATGTTGAATGAGTGATAAGAGTGGGTATTTTGTCTTGTTCTCGTTCTTAGAGGAAAAGCTTTCAGCTTTTCTCCATTCATTATAATGTTAGCTGTGAATTTGTCATATATGGCCTTTATTGTGATGAGGTACTTTCCTTGTATACCTAATTTATTGAGAGTTTTTTTTAAATCATAAAGAGATGTTGAATTTTAGCAAATGCTTTTTTCTGTGTCTATTGACATTCTGTTGGTGTGACATATCATATTGATTTGCATATATTGAATCATCTTTGCATTCCTGGGATAAATCCCACATGGTTATGCTATATTATCTTTTTGATGTCTTGTTGAATTGGGTTTTCTATGAGTTTATTGAGGATTTTTACAACTATGTTCATTAGGGATATTGACTTGTAGCTTTCTTTCTTTGTTCTCCTTGTCTGGTTTTGGTATTAAGTTTCTGCTGGCCTCACAGAATGAATTAGGAAGAGTTCCTTCCATTTCAATTTTTTAGAATCATTTGAGAAGAATTGATAGTAATTCTTTAAAGGGTTGATAGAATTCAGTGGTGAAGTCATCTCGACATTTCTTTTTTGGGAGATTTTTATTACTGACAATGTTGTTACTTGTTCAGGTGTATTCAGGTTTTCTATTCTTCTTGGTTCCATCTTTGTAGATTGTATGTATCCAGGAACTTATCCATTTCCTTTAGGTTTTTGAATTTGTTGGCACATAGTTGTTCATTGCAGTCTTTAATGACCCTTTGTATTTCTGTGATGTCTGTTGTGATGTCTCCTTTTTGGTTTCTGATTTTATTGATTTGGATCTTTTATCTTTTTCTTAGTTTAGCTAATAGTTTGTCAATTTTGTGTATCTTTGGAAAAACACCTTTTTTCATTGATCTTTTGTATTTTTTTGTCTCAATTTTATTTATTTCCTCTCTGGTCTTTATTATTTCTTTCCTTCCACTAATTTTGGGTTTGGTTCTTGCTTTTCTAGTTTTTTGAGATGCATTGTTAAGTTGTTCATTTGAAATATTTCTAGTGTTTTGACATAGGCACTTATTGTTATAAACTTGCCTCTTAATAGTGCTTTTGCTGTGTAATATAGGCTTTGGTATGTTTTGTTTCTAATTTCACTTGTTTCAAGGAAATTTTTATGTTAATTTTTTTTTTGAGTCAGAGTCTCACTCTGTTGCCCAGGCTAGAGTTCTCACAGCTACTATTGCCTCTGTCTGTTGGACTAAAGTGATCCTTCTGTCTCAGTCTCCCAAGTAGCTGGGACTGCAGGTACGTGCCACCATGCCTGGCTAATTTTTTGTTTTATTGTAGAGATGAGGTCTCGCCATGTTGTCGGAACTGGTCTTGAACCCTTGGGTTCAAGCATTCCTCCTGCCTCTACCTCCCAAAGTGTAGGGATTACAGGCATGAGCATTGTGCCCATTTTTTACTTTAATTTTTAATTTCTTCAACCATTGTTCATTTAGTGACATGTTGCTTAATTTCCATGTATTTGTATAGTTTCTAATGTTACTATTGTTATTTATTTCTAGTTTTATTCCATTGTGGTTGGATGAAGTACTTAATGAAATTTAAATTTAAAAGTTTTTTGAGACTTGTTTTGTATCCTAACACATGATCGTTGCTGGAAAATGTTCCTTGTGTTGAAAAAAATGTATATCCTGCAACTGTTGGGTGAAAGGTTTTGAAAATGTTTATTAGGTCCAGTTGGTCTATGGTGCAGTTTACATTTGATTTTTTTATTGGTTTCTTTCTAGATGATCTGTTCAGTGCTGAGAGCAGGGTGTTAAAATCCCCAACTATTATTGTATTGAGATTTATCGCTCTCTTCAGATCTATTGATATTTGCTTTTTATATTTAGATGACTCAATGTTTGGTACACACACACACATACACACACACACACACACACACACACCACAATTGTTATAACCTTTTGCTGAGTTGACCCCTTTATCATTATATAATGAACTTCTTTGTCTCTTATTACAATTTTAAACTGATTTTATACTTTAAAGTATAATTACGCCTGCTCTGTTTTGGTTTCCGTTTGTATGGAATATATACTTTCATCTCTTCACATTCAGTCTATGTGTGTCCTTACAGGTGAAGTTAATTCCTTGTAGGTAGCATACAGATGGAACTTTAAAAAAAAGGCCCTCTTTGTCTTTAAAAAAATTTCAGTAGTTTAGGTGGTACAAAAGGTTTTTGGTTACATTGCACAGTAGCAAAGAAATCTGGGCTTTAAGTGCACCTATCATCTCCACCTGTGCATATTGTACTTGCTAGATGATTTTTCATCCCTCTTCCACTTCCCATCCTCCCTCTTCTAAGTCTCCAAGGTCCCTTCTAAGTCCTTTAATTGGAGATTTTCATCCACTTACAAAGTTATTATTTTTGGGTAAGGACTTACTACTGCCATTTTTGCAATGACAAGGTTTTTGAGGAAGTTTGCTATGTGCTGGACATAAGGTTAAACAATATTCTCATAATGAAATATAATGCTAGACAATATAACTTGTTTTCCTAATGTTCATAACACCACATGCCTCTTGGAGAGGGATAGTTGCAGTTAGGGCATTTGTCTTCTGTTCCTGTGATGATCTCAGGACAAAAGGATTCTCAGGTTGAATAGGGAAGAGGGACATGGTCCTAGATGGAGCAATGATTGACTTTAACCAAAAGCCTACATATAGTATTAATTTTCAACTTATGTTTGGTGAGAGGAATGTTTGTATTTGAGGTTGATCCTACATAATGTCTGTGATTAATTTGTGGACAGTGTCTCCCCTGGCTCTCAGTTTGGCTGTAGATAGAGAAACTAATGAATGAGTGTGCCAAGTATGGATTTTTGAGAATGCAAATGTGATGCAGAATTATAGCATACAGAACTCGTTAGGAAAGACAAACATAGTCCCTAGAGATTACTGGAGGACAACAATATATACACCAGGACAATATGTGTCTAGGTAAAGGCAACAGAGAATGAGTAGCAAGACAAGAACAGCTTAATTTGCAGAAAAAGAAATTAATGGAATCTAGTCTAGAGACTTGGGGGGCTTTTATTTGTAGGCAATTCTTGAGTCAGGAGGCTAGATAGAGATATAATTTTATAGCAGACATGATAGATCACATAAAAATCCAGGTCTCATCTTTTGAAAAAGCCAGAAGAGAATGAACCGGGCTAGAGGAGAATGAACTAAGTGTATATGTGGACCAAACTGAGCCAATTATATTCTCTCTTTTGGGAATTTGGAGTTAGCTACAGAGTCTGGGTTTGTAAATTGTGGATGGGTGGTCAAGCTAGAAAGTTATTTAGACATATATAATAAACTGTATACATTATAAAAATATTTAATAATTGTAAATGCATATGTACCCAATACTGGAGCATCCAGATGTAAAAAGACAATATTACTTAGATCTAAAGGGAGAGATCTCAGTACAATAATAGTTGGGGATTTCAACACCCCACTCTCTGCATTAGACAGATCATCCAGACAAAAAAATCAGTGCAGAAACATCAAACTTAAATTGCATCACAGACCAAGTGAACCTGACAAACATTTACAGAACATTTAACCCAACAGCTGCAGAATACACAATTTTTTCATGAACACATGGAACATTCTCCAGGATTAACCATATGTCAGAACATAAAACAAGTCTTAAAAATTTTTTAAAACTCAAAATCATATCAAGTACTTTTTTCTCATCTAATTATTTTAAGTGAGATATCAAGTATTTTATATGACCACAATGGAATAAAACTAGAAATCAGTAACAAGAAAAACATTAAAAATGATACAAATACATGGCAATAAGACAATATGCTCCTGAATGATCAATGAGTGAAGGAAGAAATTAAGAACAGATTAAAACATTCCTTGCAATGAATTAAAATAAAAATCTATAGAACACAGGAAAAGCAGTATTAAGATGCAAATTTATAACCATAAACACCTACCAAAAAATAGAACAATTTCAAATAAATAACCTAATGGTACATCTCAAAGAACTAGAAAAGCAAGAGAAAATTAAACCTGAAATGAATAGAAGGAAAGAAAGAACAAAGATCACAGAAAAAAAAAATAAATTTGAGACTAAAAAAACCAACAAAATAAAATATGCTTAAAAGTATTTAAAAATAAAAGAAAAATTTGGGCATGGTGGCTCACACCTATAATCTCAGCACTTTGGGAGGCTGAGATGGTAGGATTGCTTGAGTCTGGGAGTTTGAGACCAACCTGGACAACAGAGTGAGATCTCGTTTGTATAAAAAATAAAAAAATTAGCCAGGCATGGTGGTGCGCACCTGTAGTCTGTACTTGGGAAGCTGAAGTTGAAGGATCATCTGAGCTCAGTAGGTGGAGGCTGTGAAGAGACATCACTGTGCCACTGCACTCCATGCTGGGTGACAGAGTGAGACTCCCACTCAAAAACAAAGAAAGAAAACAAAAGAAAAAAGTTTGACTCTGAAAGTCAAGTAGTTGATAGAAAAGCTTATGAAAATTGTGCCTAAAGTAATAAAGACATTTGTCATGCATTAATTTGTTCTTTTACTGACTGAACACTTACTGAATACCTGTTTTGGGCATGGCACTGTTTCATGAAGTAAAACCATCATTCCTGCCCTCAATCCTAGGAGCTAAAGCCATGTATGTTGCTCAGAAAGAAGATGAATAGAGAGGAGGTGAGCATAGTTAGTCACTGATATGAGTTCCCTTGTTCATAACTTAATCCTTTTTGGAAGCTTATTGAAGGTGAGAATGGAGGAAAAAGACTGTTTTCTTAGTGCCCATGTTCTTTGAGGTCTATATGTTCCCTTTGAGAGAGAAAGTAAATAGAAGATCCACATTGTTCATAAAATGTATGACTATGGAAAAGAGAAGCATTTTGGGAGAAGTCAAGAGTCATAGGGTGGGAAAACGTAGGCTTTTGTATACTTTCAACTTCCTAAAGAGATTCATGTCCTAGAGTCTTCTAACCAAGTTTGATGAGAGCTTGGAAAAGTGGGGTATAGTAAAAAGCCAAGGCTACATAAAATACTTAGAAAGAGCAAATACTAAAACCTATTAGTATGGCTCTATGGCTCAGTAGTTAAGCAGGTGGGCTCTGGCATCAGACAGATTTGGCTTCTGATTCCAGTCCAGGCACTTAGCTATGTGACTTTGCACAAAAGATTTCACCTCTCTAGGCTTCAGTTTACCCAGATAGAAAATAGGGTGAAATTTCCAGGAAGATCTAAGAAACCCACATGTAACAAGCTTTTCTAGCTCATTGCTGTCAGTATATAAACCCCCAAATGATCAAGGATCTTTACTTAATTCTGTTCTGGACTCCTTCATTCATTTATTCATCCATCTAACAACTATTAATTGAGCACCCACAGTTGCTTGACATTGCAGATGGAGTTGTAATCAAGAAGGTATTATCCCTGTGCTCCTGGGACTTACAGACTAGAGGTGAATAAAGACTTTCCATGTATAATTATTAAGATGATACTATTAATGAGAAAGCACAGAAGACCATGAAGGAGCATAACTTGGGGGCCATTCGTCTTTTCTTTTTTCTACTCTTTCCATTTTATCATTCTCTAACTTTTCAGCTCTCACTCACTCATAGCCCACTACGGTCTGACTTATCCTATCCCACCCTCAACTTCCACATTTACTAAATATGGCTAAGATCAATGGCACTCTGTCAATTCTCATATTTCCATTTTGCATATTAATTGCTGTTGCAGCATTTTGCATTAACAAAAATCTATGTTTCTTGAGACATTCTCTTCCCATGCATTCCAGAGATCTGCTTCCCTCTAGTCATCCCTTTGATTTCTGCTCTTTAAATTTTGGGAAGAGCCTTAGTGTTTCATGTTTAAGCCTTTCCTATATGTGCTTTTATTTGTGACTTCATCTATTCTCACAACATCAATGACCATCTACATGATAAGGATTGCTAAATCCACAGATCTGGGCCCAAATTCAGATGCCTTGATATTATGGGCATTTAACTTATTTTAAAAGAGAATTTAAATAAATTCAAAACTGAAACAATCATCTCTATAACTTTTTTCTGACTCATATGTTGATTGAAATTAATGTCACAACTACCCCAATACTATAAGAAAAGGATTGACAGTAGCAGGAAACTGCGGAGGGGAGGGGAGGCGGGGAGGTGGGATTGACAGTAGTGGAAATCTGCCTAGGGAAGGGGAAGCACATCTTATCAACAAGGGTACCTGCACAGTGAATATTTGTATACCTAACCCTGAAATGTACCCCACAATTTTAAAATAAAAAATTTTAAAAGTTAAAAAAAGAGAAATTAATGTCAATATCATTTACTCAGTGTCTTTGAACTAAAATTTTGTGCTCCTACCCACAACATTCTTTCTACCCAAATAAAATCTCTGTTTCTATTTTTCCTTGTTTGTCTTATTTCTACCTGTCAAGACCTAGTTTAATGGCATCCCCTCTGAAAACACTTATTGTCTCTCTAACTCAGATTGAGCTATCCAATTGAGTAACTTAATTGCTCACTTATAAAACCTTATTAATTTATTTATATTAACAACAGGCTGTAATATATTTCCAAATCTCTGTCACAGAACTGGAGTTGGATTCTTTGAGAGTAACTAGTAACTAGCAGATTGCTTAGTTACTAGCAGATTGCTTAGTAGAGACTCATCCATTAAGGCTCACATTCTTAAATTTTTTTTTTTTTGAGTTGGGTCTCACTCTGTTTCCCAGACTGGAGTGCAGTGGCTGCTCTCGGCCACTGCAGCCTCGACCTGCTGGGCTCTGGTGGTCCTTCCGCCTTAGCCTTCCAAGTAGCTGGAACTACAGGTGTGCGCTACCATGCCTGGCTAATTTTTGATCTATTGTAGAGATGAGGTCTTGCCAAGTTGCCTGGGCGGGTCTCGAACCCACAGGCTCAGGCAATCCACTCACCTCAGCCTCCCAAGGCACGGGATTACAGGCTGAGCCACCGAGGCCGGCTCATTCTTAAATTTTTTAAAGATTCACAAGCTTTTTGACTTTATCTTTGAAGGCTTGTTTTACCTGTTGGTTCCTTAGGGTGTAAATGAAGGGATTTAACAAAGGGACAACTGAAGTAATGAATAGAGCTACTGCCTTGTTGAATGTGTCCCCTTCTTTTGCTGAGGGCTTAATATAAATAAAGCAGCAGCTTCCATAAGAGAGAGAGAGATGACAATCATGTGGGAAGAACAAGTTGAAAAGGTTTTTATCCTTTGCTGGGCAGAAGGGAACTTCAGGAGAGTCTTGATGATGAGTGTATCAGAAAGAACCACTAGCACCAGAGTGACCACTAGGTCACAGATGCCACAGGAAAGACAACCTTCTCTATGAGGCTTGTGTCTGAACAGGAGAGTTCCTGAAGAGCTGAAGAGGCTCACAG